ATACTACGTGGATGGCGAGGCAGTGGCGCAGTAAGTAGTGCTGTCGCCTCACAGCAAGAAGGTCGCTGGGTAGCTGGTTTGAACCTCGGCTCAGTTGGCGTTTCTGTGTGGAGTTTGCATGTTCTCCCTGCCTTCGAGTATGTGGGGTGCTCTGGTTTCCCCCACAGTCCAAATACATGCGGTACAGGTGAATTGGGTAGGCTAAATTGTCCATAGTGTATGAGTGTTTGTGTGAATGTGTGTGTGGATGTAGATGGGTTGCGGCTGGAAGGGCATCTGCGGCGTAAAAACTTGCTGGATAAGTTGGCGGTTCATTCTGCTGTGGCGACCCCGGATTAATAAAGGGACTAAGCCGACAAGAAAATGAATGAATGATACTAGGTGGTTTAAAAACATGATATTGAAGCTATTCACAGAATATCACACTAAAAACTATTGCTATTTTTTGTTAGTAACTCAAGGGCTCAGTGGTTAGCACTGTCGCCTCAAAGCAAGAAGGCTGCTGTTTCGAGTCCTGGCATTTCTGTTTAGAGTTTGCATGTTCTCCCCATGTTGCCGTGGGTTTCCCCATGTGCGCTAGGGGTGAATTAAATAAACTAAATTGTCTGTAGTGTATGATTGTACATGTAAATTAGTGTGCATGGGTGTTTCCCAGAACTTGGTTGCAGCTGGAAGGGCATCCGCTGTGTAAAACATATGCTTGAATAGTTGGCGGTTCATTTCATTATTGCAACCTCTGACAAATAAGGGACTAAGCTTAAGGAAAATGAATAAATGTTAGTGACGCATAACAAAATCTCACCTATTTTCACCATCTTTAGAATGGCCTCCACCGTCATCATCACTGAAATCAGAGTCATACCCTCCGCCTCCATGAACCTAAAGTGTTAAGTACAACAACACAACACTGATACCACAGAATGCACAAGCACAACATTTAAAAACGTCTGCCTCTGTGAAGTGATTTTTTTGGCAGGTGATTTACTAAACAAGTACAGGAGGGAAAGGGAAGGTGAGTCCAGCTGACTGCAGCAAAGGCAGAAAGTGTTTCTGGTTGATGTACTGAGTCAGCTGCCATGATGCCTCTTCAGCAGAGCACAGGAAACACAACACCCACAGGCAAACCCAGCGCACAGCAAGGTCACTTCACACGCCCTTTATTATCTGCATTATACACTGAGCAAACGTATGTAAAAATGATGACCGGTGTAAATATGAAGGAATTTATATTTATATTTTATTATATTGATGTTGATCCATAGGTGTTTGATATGTATTTTAAGTTAAGCTATATTTTAGAACTAAAGGACATGATCTGTTTTTTTTAAAATACAGTCGAGGCCAAAATGATTCATGTGATAGACAATTTCTGACTTAAAGATTTTCAAAATGTAAATAAAACCTGAGAAATACTTTTTTTGCCACAATGATGATGCTTGTACATTGTCTTAATATTTTTTGGGAGAAGCCTGTCATTTCCTGTCAAAAAATAAAAATACTTTTATTTCAGAATTTGCTAGGGGTATGAATCAGTTTGTATTTGACTGTGCATATAGATTTTTTTTTTGCCTCATTCACACTTGTTTTTAACAGACTGGTAAACACTGACATCAAAAAGGAGTGAATTGCAATTTACTCAAAAGCAGAACAAAAGGTTTTTATTTTTATTTTTTTAATGCTGTGAAAGAGTTGCAGGATAATTGTATTATGTGCAATATAATATAAAAAATATAAGAAAAATAAAAGAAATACGCTGTGGTATCTATCACAATGTTATTCCTATATTATACAACTTTTTAACTTCATTGTCTATATGCTATATAAAATGGACTTGTTTTTTTAAAGTAATTATATATCCACTATCACAAAAAGACAAATTGAACTCCATTCATTAAAAAAACAAGATCTAATAATGGAAAAGGGTCTGATGATAAAATATTTAGAAAATATGACATATAGTTATTATCAAGGAGCGACATGGTGGCTGAGTGATAAGCACTTGTGCATCACAGTAAGAATGTCACTGGTTTGAGTCTTGGCTAGGTAAGTTAGCATTTCTGTGTGGAGTTTGTATGTTCTTCCCATGTTGGTTTCCTCCGGGTGCTCCAGTTTCCCCCACAGTATAATGTAGGCATGGGCAGGTATAAGATTTTGACGGTATGATAACCTTGGATATAAATATCACGGTATGGCAGTATTGTGCTCACTGCTCTAAAATATATTCTTTTTAAATGACTGGGTAAAAAACAAAAACTATTTTCCCTTTGAAAACAATATATTATATATATATATATATATATATATATATATATATATATATATATATATATATATATATATATATATATGTTTTTTTTTTAAGATTTATGATATTTTGATTTTGGAGCAGTAAACATGTCAGGCTATATAATTTAAATGAATTATTGACTTCTGCTGCCTTCATTTGTTTCAAAAACATAGATTTCTTAACTATTTAAAACGGCATCTTACAAAAAAAATGTAAATAAAAAATCTTGCAGATACCTTAGGGACGGTATTACAGAAAATTTAGGTGGTATTAAAACCTTGATTTTTCCAAACCGCAGTATAGCTTGAAAACGGTTATTGTCCCATGCCTAGTCCAAAGGCATGTCTTATAGGTGAATTGGATAAACTAGATTTGCCATAGTGTATGTGTGTGAATAAGTGTGTATGGATGTTTCACAGTACTGGGTTGCAGCTGGAAGGGCATTCACTGGGTAAAACATATGCTGGATAAGTTAGTGATTCATTCCGCTGTGGTGACCCCTGATAAATAAAGGGACTAAGCCGAAGGAAAATAAATGAATAATTATTATTATCAAATTGAAAAAGCAGCAGTACCTGTGTAAAATCTGCAGTATCATATTTAATATCCTATCGAAGGCCTCGAAATTTAATGAAAAAGTGATCAACAATTTGCATCTTACATCTGCCATTTGCCTTCTGTCATCTACAAGTGAAAGGGCTTTTAGTAAAATTGAAAAAAGGACATTTTTCATGAGTCATTTTGCTGTGAAATCTTTACAGATTTTCATAAATATGATTTTGAATAATGTGATTATTAAATAATAAAGAGTGCCTTACTTTCTTTTACATAAAAAAGAACACCATTGCACCAGCTTGTGCTTCTGATTCAATCTTAAGTGTTTTCTCACTAAAACATCCTATAGTCATAAAGGCTGCATGTTACACTATCATACAAACTTTTAATACTTTAATTATGTTTTCTAAAGGTTAATGACACGCTTCTTTTTCATGACGAATACATTTGTTTTTCGAACTATTATTTATCAAACTGACAGTCTCACCTTGCAGAATGACGATTTTATGTAAGGTAAAGTTTATATTATACATTCTAACGTTTAAGTTTAACACGAGCACATCTGATTACCGAACAAATTGTGCCATATTACCGATGTGCGATACTTAATAAATACATTTATTTAATTTCCAGTCATAAATGGCAAGCTGTCGCAAACATTGTTGACACAAATTAAACCAAACCATAACTGTGGTTTGTTACAAACATTACCTTAACAAGGTCTAGAGCAGATTTGTCCATGTCGCTCATCATTTGTTTACATGCCGCCAAGGCGCAGACAGGCGCGTGCTGATGACGTAGGAACCACGTGTTCAAAACAAAGGTAGCCCCGTCCTCCCGTGCGTTGAGCTGTTACTGTGTTCATTTCTTTGTCTCATTTAATGTCAATATAATGTTCCAATTCAATCTGAAGGATGTCTTTTATATATGTATAGGAATACAATAAGATATTTGGAGAGATCAAATATAAAAGTGACCAAATAATGAGCAGGAGTTGTGTTGGCAGTGTTCTTTGTTTGGACTGACTGATCATTGGCATCATATTTCACACTTGTTTTCATCGGAAATTGGTTACAATTCTCTGACGGGACATTAGAGGGGGGCGATTTGCCATTTTCTCAAATGCAGAACAACTGGTCTTTTCTTCCGAAAAATGCTAAAAATGAAAGCAGAGAGAGAGAGAGCTGAGGGTCGGGACAGGCGCTGCACTGTTCTCCACACATGGCTGTGGACAATCCATACAATGCAACAAAGAAGCGTCCATATGGAAGTCATGTAAAAACCCAGGGAAAGGAACATCATATGGAAATGTGTTTAGATGAATTATATACTATATACACTACTACTATTATGATAGTATGCTAATAATAACAATAACAGCGGGATAATATTAAAATGCCTTTGAGCCACATATACCATGACATATTTAGTGAAATATAGAATGAACAGTAGGCCTATGTTAATGTATATAAAAAATGGAATTAATGTTACATTAATACTCACAAATAATTTATTAAACAATTAATTAGAAATATAATACTTATCTTTTGTTTGATTCATAAATATAATTCATAAATACTTTCGATTTTTTTTTATTAATAAAGCCAGATCTATCTATCTATCTATCTATCTATCTATCTATCTATCTATCTATCTATCTATCTATCTATCTATCTATCTATCTATCTATCTATCTATCTATCTATCTATCTATCTATCTATCGGTGCATGCATCTATCTATCTATCTATCTATCTATCTATCTATCTATCTATCTATCTATCTATCTATCTATCTATCTATCTATCTATCTATCTATCTATCTATCTATCTATCTATCGGTGCATGCATCTATCTATCTATCTATCTATCTATCTATCTATCTATCTATCTATCTATCTATCTATCTATCTATCTATCTATCTATCTATCTATCTATCTATCCGCATAATAACAAAAATACAAAGAAAAAAAGAATATAAAATAATTACAACGCCATTATGCAACAAAGTCAAGTAAATACATTTAATTGAACTACTGAATATTTTACACATTATTTATTCATTGCATTATATAAAGAAGAATATTTGAAGAAGTATAAAGAGCCAGCTTCATAAAAGCTGAGTATGTTTCTTGCTCTGATTGCTTGGGGGGCGCAGGTGCATCTCTCCAAAGCCTCATGAATATTCTCTCTATCACTTATTCATGGGCTCGGTTCATGCGCATTCACAGTAATAACACCATTGGACAGCAGCTGGTACATCATGATGCAAAAGAGGGATTCTCCCAGGATCTGAAGGAATTGTTTGATCCTCAAACGCGCGTCGGCAAGGAAAACATTGTGATCTTGTAGGATTTTTCTTTCCATTTTCTCGTGCACTTTCATTTTCACTGTTGTTGTTTTTTTTAAATTCTTTTATGCCGACCCACACACATAAAAAAATTGTTTTGTTATTAAAATCTGCATGCAACTAACAGGAAATCTGAGCCCATTATAGCAGAACGAATCGCCTGGATGAGCGCCTGACAGACTGAGACTCAGACATTCATCACACGGACACAAGTGAAGGAGTCGAGCGGCAGAGCAGCTCTGATCACCCGCGCAAACCCACACACACATACACACACCCGCGCAGGATGGGATATGCGAACAGGAGCATAAGAGCATACACTTTTCTGTTGTGGGTCGCAGCGGTCCTGCTGTTTGCGGAGAGCAGAAGAGGCAAACAGCCGAGATGCCCCTCTGGATGCACGTGCACCAAAGATAACGCCTTGTGTGAAAATGTGAGATCTGTGCCTCACAGCTTCCCTCCAGACGTCATCTCACTGTAAGTCTATACAAACTACACTTTATATTCAACTTCTGTATGATGTGGTAATGTAGTGTAGAAATGCAAGTCTTTTAATAGGGCCTATGTGAGCCCAGACCACAAAACTATCTATATGTTTTAATTAAGATGTACATTAAAGCTGAATAAAAACGCTTTTTATTGAGGTATACTTTGTTAGGATGGGAAATTATTTGGCTGAGGTATCCTAAGGGTTAAAAATAGCAAAATAATGTAAAAATCAAAGTTAAAGTCGTCTGAATGACTAAAAAAAGATGTAGGAACATTTCTAAATATCTTCTATTTAAATATAGTATCAATTTAAATGTAAAAAAAAATCTTATTTTAGTTATTGTCAAAAATATACCTTTGTTTTTGTCACATATTTTAACATTTGATTGAATGTGGTTTCATATTAGATATATGCATCACATTAAAGCTAAATATATGCTTTGTATCGTAATATATAAATTATTATCATTTGTCTGAGGTACAACTGCATGAATATCTGTAATCTGAGGGTTTACCAAATCAAAATAATGAGAAAATCAGTGTTCAAGTTGTCTGAATGAATTTATAAATAAAAAACGAGTTTTAATATATATTTACAGTAGAAAATATCTTCTTTTGAAATATAAATATCTTATTTTTTTAAACTTTATATTCTAATGATTTATCAATAACAAAAGAGAAATCTATCATTTTGAGCCAAACAATGCATTTTGGTTAATATCAATTATACCTGTGCAAAACAAGACTGGTTTTGTCACATAATTTAACATTTAGGCATATGGAAATCATTTATGAGAAGATTTCTAGTGTTTGGGTGTCATTTCATATTAGATATGCATCACATTGAAGCTAAATCTATAAGCTTTCCATACTTTGTTAGGTAAGGAAAATATTTGTCTGAGATATAAAACTGCTTGAATATCTGTAATCTGAGGGTTTACAAAAATCTAAATAAAGAGAAATCAGTGTTCAAGTTGTCTGTACGAATTTACTAATTAAAAAAATGAGTTACAACATATATTTACAGTAGGAAATGTACAAGATCTCTTCTGTTTAAATATAAATGTTTTATTTATTTACTTTATATTCTAATGATGTTTCAATATTAAAAAAAGATCTTTAATTTTGAGCCAAACAATGCATTTTGGTTAATGTTAAAAATATTCCTGTGCAACACAAGACTGTTTTTGTCACATATTTTAACATTTGCGCATAAGGAAATCAATTATGGGTAGATTTCTAGTTTTGGTGGGATGTCGTTTCATATTAGATTTATGCATCACATTGAAGCTAAATCTATAAGCTTTCCAGTGATGTATACTTTGTTTGGTAATGAAAATATTTGTCTGAGATTTGAATATCTGTAATCTGAGGGTTTACAAAAATCTAAATAATGAGAAAATCAGTGTTCAAGTTGTCTGAATGAATCTTTTAATAAAAACAAGTTTTAATTTATATTTACCGTAGAAAATGTACAAAATATTTTCTTTTTAAATATAAATATCTTATTTCTATATATATATATATATATATATATATATATATATATTCAAATGATTTATCAATAACAAAAAAGAAATCTATAATTTTGACCCAATGCATTTTGGTTAACGTTAAAAATATACCTGTGCAACACAAGACACATATTTTACAGTTTGAGCAAATGGAAATCATTTCTGAGAAGAATTTCTAGTGTTTGATTGGATGTCATTTCATTTAAGATATATGCATCACATTAAAGCTAAATCTATAAGCTTTCCATTGATGTATACTTTGTTAGGTAAGGAAAATGTTTGTCTGAGGTATAAAACTGCTTGAATATCTGTAATCTGAGGGTTTACAAAAATCTAAATAAAGAGAAAATCAATGTTTGAGTTGTCTAAATGACTTTACTAATAACAAAAAAAAAACAGGTTTTAATATATACTTACAATAGAAAATGTACAAAATATCTTATTTTTAAATATAAATATCTTTTTTCTTTACTTTATATTCTAATCATGTTTCAGTAACAAGAAAAGATCTATATTTTGAGCCAAACAATGCATTTAGGTTAATATCAAATTCTTTATATATATATATATATATATATATATATATATATATATATATATATATATATATAAAACACACCCATTCAAATGATTTATCAATAACAAAAAGGAAATCTATAATTTTGACCCAGCAATGGATTTTGGTTAACGTTAAAAATATACCTGTTCAACACAAGACACATATTTTAACATTTGAGCAAATGGAAATCATTTTTGAGAAGATTTCTAGTGTTTGGTGGGGTGTCATTTTATATTACATGTATGCATTACATTAATGCTAAATATATAAGCTTTCCAGTGATGTATACTTTGTTAGGAAAATATTTGGCTGAGATTTGAATATCTGTAATCTGAGGGTTTACAAAAATCGAAATAATGAGAAGATCAGTGTTCAAGTTGTCTGTACAAATTTACTAATAAAAAACGGGGTTTAATATATATTTACAGTAGAAAATGTACAAAATATTTTCTTTTGAAATATAAATACCTTATTTCTTTACTTTATATTCAAATGATTTTTCAATAACAAAAAAGAAATCTATATTTTTGACCAAAACTGTGCATTTTGGTGGATATCAAAAATATACCTGTGCAACACAAGACATATTTGATTTGTTTAAAAAAAAAAATAACATGATAAAAAGCATCATATAATATGCATTAGTTATAATAAAACCTTAATGGTTCTAAGAGTCTGTATTGGTCACACATTAGAAACCATTAAAACACACTGGATTTTATTGTTAAATTCAATGCTTTTTAAAATGGTATTTGTAATGGAAACCATAGAACATCTAAAGTTTAGATTTTTATTTTAGCGCAGACACTCCTTTACATCTAAATTACACTCCTCCTTTTCCTAACAGCTCGTTTGTGAAGTCTGGATTCAGTGAGATTGCAGGGGGAAGTTTTCTCCACACGCCGTCCCTTCAGCTTCTGTGAGTTTCCCTTAGTGTTATGTGTGTGTTTTCTCTGTATCAGGATGGGGTGATCACCATGTTAAGTGGTCCAATGTTTGTTCTAGGCAATTACGGCCCGTCCCCCTTTAATACGGGCATTTTGGGGACATTCTTCAGCGTGTCTAATTTCTCAAAGCCTTTAAATTGGTGTGAATATTATGCAATGCTGCTGCTCTGTGAGGGACATGGGCTTGTCCTCGTGATAAACAAATAAGGCGATGTCTGGTTAGACATACACATCGCAAACACAAAGTATTAGAAATGAACGGCTCAGAGGCAGTGAGTTATGCGATTCTATGCAAATGTACACTCTCACACAAAAGCAAATGCAAATCTGACAGCTGGATTTGGCACTGTTATGCAAAATATTACCAGTCTTTAATCTGTTTCACCATGTGTTAGGTCTGATTGTGTAATGTTTTTGAGCATATGGAAAGAATTTATGAGAAGATTACTAGTGTTTGATTGGATGGGGTTTCATATGAGATGTGTAATGTCAGGAAAGTAATTAAAAACAGGAAGGTAGAATGGCGTTGTTATTTTGTCTTCATCAGATTTGATTGTCATATACAACTTTCATTGTGTATCTGGGCCTGATTTAAGTCATGATTTGTGATCAGAATAGTTTTGTAGTTGTAGTTTTGAGGGAAACATTATATCAGATCCAGAAGAGCGAACCACTGAAACTTTGGTTTGTATGCTTTGATTTTCTAGATTGTTTACAGCCAATTCTTTTGACTTGATTGATGAAGATGCCTTCCAAGGGCTGCCACATCTGGAATATCTGTGAGTTTGATTTTATTTGTTGTGTTTGCAATCCTCATCATTCGGTCTTCTTTTTGTATCTCTCCATTTCAATATAAATGCATCGCTTTATTTCAGATTTATTGAAAACAACAAAATAGAGTCCATTTCTCCCCATGCCTTTAGAGGATTGAAATCCCTCATTCACCTGTAAGTATATCAAAATTTCTATAATACAAATGATTTATTACTATATTTATTTATGTTTATAATAATTTGATAATATTAATTATCAAACTCTATGGATTAATTAGCAAATTGAAAATGAGCTAATGTTTTTAAAGCATTTAAATGATTTATTTTAGTTTAAAATGAAGAATTAAAAATGTTTTTTAATGAAAGGATTAACTGGATTTATTTATTTTATTTTACTGTTATTTTATCTTTATTTCATTGTGTCTATTTTATTATTATTATTATTTTTATATATATTCATATTATATATATATATAATATGAATATATTATATTATATTATATTATATTATATTATATTATATTATATTATATTATATTATATTATATTATATTATATTATATTATATATCATTTTTTAATATTTACATATTATTATTTTATATATCATCTCTATTATATTATATTTTATTTTATATTATTATATCATTTTATATTATATTTATCACAATAACAATTTTTTTTAATAAAAATAAATAAAATACATTTAAAGTTTTTATTTGTCCATTTAGTCTAATGGTGTCATCATGATGGTTTTGTTAATAAACTCTCAATTAATAAAATATTAATAAACTTTTAACTTAAAAAAAATATAAGTGCTGTATATTAAATAATAATGAATTAATTTTAAATATTTTGTTTTTAACGGTTATTTTATCTGAACAATAAATAAACATTTTGTTTCAAATCTATTTACATATATATTTATAGCTATTTTTATAAATATCATATTGTATTAGGCCTATATAATGATATACTATAATAACTCTGGACTGTATTTCATAAATACTCTTTAAAATTGTAAATAGTTAATTTTAATTTAATGCACAAACATTTTAAACATATTCATTTATAGTTTTAATTAAATGCACAAACATTTTAAACACATTTATTTAAAGTTTATTTCATTCCTTTTATATGGTCTCTTTTGTGTCATAAAATGGTTTATTATCAGACTGAATTTTAAAACTACTGTCTATGAAACTTCGTGTTTTGTGTAAAATATACTCAATATTTGTAAAATACATTTATTTTGAATATTATGCATTAACAAGTATAAAATAAAACTAAAATGAAAAGGTGAAAAATAAAAACATTATATTTTATAAAAAACTGTGTTGTAAAAGTAACCACTTCAGTAAGTTTTGGGACACAGACCCAATATTATATTATATTATATTATATTATATTATATTATATTATATTATATTATATTATATTATATTATATTATATTATATTATATTATATTATATTATATTATATATTTTGCTAGCAGAGAGCTTGTATCATTCCTGTTAGAAAAAGATAATATAATATAATATAATATAATATAATATAATATAATATAATATAATATAATACATTTAGTTTTTCACAATAATGAATAAATATTGTTCATTAAAATAATGTAAATACATTTAAAGTTTATATTTGTGCAATTTGCAACTAATGTTTCTAAAATAATTCATATGGTTTTGTTTTTTGTAAAATATATTCAATATTTGTAAAATTTATTTCTATTTAATAATTTAAATAATACACAATTAATTATAAAATAATAAACAAATATTTTAATTTAATTTAATTTAATTTATACACTGGCTTTGCCCCCAAAAAAATCTCGAAATGTTACTTAAAAGTCAGACTACACAACATCATATTTATGGCGTAACAGGAGCTGAACGGTGCAGCACGCTGGCGCAGTGGGTAGCACAATCACCTCACAGCAAGAAGGTCGCTGGTTTAAACCCCGACTGGGTCAGTTGGCATTTCTGTGTGACGTTTGCATGTTCTCCTCGTGTTGGCGTGTGTTTCCTCCACAAGACCAAAGACATGCGCTATAGGTGAATTGAGTAAGCTGAATTGGCCGTAGTGTATGTGTGTGAATGAGTGTGTATAGATGTTTTCCAGTGATGGGTTGCAGCAGGAAGGGCACCCGCTGTGTAAAACATGCTGGATAAGTTGGCGGTCCATTTCGCTTTGGCAACCCCTGATTAATAAAGGGACTAAGCTGAAAAGAAAATAAATTAATGAATTTACTTTGTCTTTCTTTAGCATTGCATTGTTAAATGGGCATCGTCTGTTGGTTTGTTTTAATGTGTTTTGTGAATAATAGTTAAAATGTTACTAAAACGATGCAATAAAAAAAACAAAAGCTTAACAGACATCATCTTTGGATATTAAATGTATTGGTAAATGATGAGATTACATTCAGATTAATAATTGCTGTAGAAGTACATTCATTGTTCATTCTTAGTTTATACTGCAGTTAAAGGGATAGTTCACCCAGAAATGACTCCCGAGTGTGGTTTTAAATCTTTGGGCTCTATTTAAACGATCTAGGACTAGGTGCAAAGTCTAAAGCGCATGGCACAAAAGCATTAAGTTTTATATATATATATATATATATATATATATATATATATATATATATATATATATATATATATATATAGGTAAAATAGTTACTATTTTCCCAAGTGTATATAACTACTACTGTAAGAAAATATCGGCATTTGGTATATACTTTCAGTATTTCTTTGCATGAACTGAGCCGATCTAATCCTGTTTATATGAATTGAGTCTGTTGCCGAGCAGGTTTGATCTACCAGAACTATTGCTATGACAACAACTCTCGGATCAGCTTTGAAGAACGAAACGATCCTGGATCAAATCGTCAACATCCAAATCCAGCTAACTGAGTAATCCACGTACGAAGAACGGACTACTGAACTCCCATGAGTCCACTAAGTGGGGCAAATGGATTTGCTATTTAAACAACATGATGAAAAACAGGAAAATTAGGGTTGCGCTGGTCTGAAAATAGCAACACATCGCACCAAACACGTCTTTAACCTTATTGCGCCGGGTGTATGATATGACAATATGACTTTCTTTCTTCGGTTGAAGATATTCTGACGAATGCTGCCACTCATTCACTTCCATAGTAGGGTAAAAATTACTATGGATGTCAATAGGTGCCAGCAACCAGCATTCTTCAAAATATCTTCTTTTGTGTTCAACAGAAGAAAAACATTTAAATAGGTTTCAAACAAGTGAAGGATGAGCAAATGATGACAGATTTTATTTTTGGGTGAATTATCCCTTTAACTAATGTAAAAAAATCAATCCTTAATGTATTCATCACTGGTAAAATGCAATGTTCCACACAATTCCTTCATGTTTTTATGCATTTCAATGGATTTAACATGAATAAGTTCTCCAAAAAAACTCAAATCTTGTTTTTAATACGTAGTTTGAACAAGCAGGAACAAAAATAATTTGTTGAGTGATTTTTGTTTTACAGGAGTCTCGCCTACAATAATCTCGAGACGTTGCCCAGAGATATATTCAAAGGAATGGATGCCTTAACAAAAGTGTACGTATTTGACCAATAAAGTCCAGTATTCTTTGCACTGTGAAAGAAGTAAAGGTAAATGAAAGTCCTGTGTGCATGCAGGGATCTCAGAGGAAACTTGTTCAGTTGTGACTGTAAGTTGAAGTGGTTGGTGGAATGGATGTTCAGCACTAATGCAACGGTGGATCAGTTATACTGCAGTGGGCCTTCACCCTATCAAGGGAAGAAGATAAATGACCTCATGCCTCAGTCCTTTGACTGCATTACAGCAGGTAAATGAGCGCTGGACTCTCTAGAGTATAAAACAGCCAGACTGATCTGCAGGAAGACTCTGCTTTTAAAAAAGGCTGATTTTTATTTCTGCTGAAATGCTTAGAAATGCACTTTAAACATTCACATCCTCAGCACAGGCTCACCTTAAAAACAGTTTGTGTCTCAGCACACAAGATTCATTCCTATTTGTGGCCAGATATCCTTAAGGTTGTAAATGTGTATGTGCAGGGGTGGATTTAATCAATAAGCTTGGTAAGCCGCCACTTAGGAATTCTGGGAGCCGATAATAAATACCTAAAAGTTTCTAAATAACTTTTATATAACGACATTTTTTATTATTAATTTATTATTATTATTATTATTAACGTTATTTGTTAATGTCATTTATTATTTTGAATGATGAGGGTCTAACAAATACAGTTTTACCTTAATTATCACATTCATGCAAATGTGTCCCCCCACCCAGAATCATGGATCAGTCCAGCAGTCAAATCAGATAAAAATTTAATTTTAAAAGCCAAATAGTTTTATTCATTATTTTTAGTTGTGAATTGAATTCAAGCCAACAAATCTTTCAAAATGTTGAGATTGCATCAGGATAAAATGTAGAAAGCAGGACTGAGTGATATAAAAAAGGAAAAAATATTTATCATAAATTTATTATCATAAAAATTATGATAATAATAATAATAATAATAATGATAATAATGATTATAATAATACATTTTATTGGGCAGCACAGTGGCGCAGTGGGTTGCACAATCGCCTCACAGCAAGAAGGTCGCTGGTTTGAGCCCCAGCTCAGTTGGCGTTTTATGTGTGGGTTTCCTCCAGGTGCTCTGGTTTCCCCCACAGTCCAAAGACATAGGTGAATTGGGTAAGCTAAATTGTCCTTAGTGTATGAGTGTGAATGAGTGTGTATGGATGTTTCCCTGTGGTGGATTGCAGCTGGAAGGGCATCCTCTGCATAAAACATATGCTAAATAAGTTGGCAGTTCTTTCCACTGTGGCGACTCCAGATTAATAAAGGGACTAAGCCGTAAAGTAAATGAATAAAAGAATTAATATAATTTATAATGCGCTTTTCTCAACAAGGCATACAAGGCAAACAGTAATAAAGCAGAACAATAAAAGAACAGTATAAATACAACAATAAGACAATAAATGTTGAACAATAAAATTGATAAAAATAATCAATAAGTTAAAAGCAACGGTAAAAAGGTCAAGTTTCTTAAAGCAGTCCAGAGAAGCGGCATTCCTGATGCTGAAGGGGAGACGATTATGTAGTTAAGGCGCACTGTATGAAAAAGCTTGACTACCCATGGCCTTTAGTTTTTTTATTTTATTTAGAGCTATATAGCTAGGCAGTAGGGTGGATTACATTTGACCACTATATACAAACATCAACTGAAATATAATATAATATAATATAATATAATATAATATAATATAATATAATATAATATAATATAATATAATATAATATAATATAATATAATATAATATAATAAAGTATAATATATAATATAATATAATATAATATAATATAATAAAGTATAATATATAATATAATATAATATAATAAAGTATAATATAATATAATATAATATAATATAATATAATATAATAAAGTATAATATAATATAATATAATTATATATTAGTATAATATAATAGTAGAATATACTATAATATACTATAATATAATATAATATAATATAATATAATATAATATAATATAATATAATATAATATAATAATATTATATTATATTATATTATATTATATTATATTATATTATATTATATTATATTATATTATATTATATTAATAACGTGAATGGAGTGTATGTATTAATATACATTCACTCCATTTCATATAGTATTTCTGCAATATGAAAATCTGCAAGGAATGTTGGAAGCATCCCTGCAGGCACAGAACGTCAACATGACGTCATATTGGCATTGTACCCCAACGTCATGGCAACGTTGGATTTTGTTCGGAAATGAAAATTGGGTTAACGTCAGAACCCAACTTCAGGGTGACGTCAATGCCCAACCTGAAATCAAGCAAATATCAATGTCTAATGATGTTACAGCTTGAAATTGTGTGGACGATATAGTTAAATCTATAAGACGTTAAGGATTTTGGTCACTTTCCAACACAACCTAAAATCAACCAAATATCAACGTGATTTGACGTCATTATTGGATGTCAAAATAACATTGTCCTTAGACACTGGCTAGACATTGAATTTGGATCACCTCACGCCATGACCTAAATCTAACCCAATATTAACAACAATGATGTTGTGTGCCTGCTGGGATGGTTCATACACAAAACTGAGAAATTAACTGAATCATGAAGTCAATAAAGACTCACAAACTCAGGCCAGTTTGTGCACAGTGCATACACATATTCAAAATAATAGCTTAATAATACATAATTGCCCACATTTAGAAGTTTACAGTTGTGCGACAGGATAGTCTGTAAGTCAAACAGTTGTGATTGGAGTCATTACTGCATTTTGCGGTTATATGGTCATCTGTATTGCTGGGAAATATGACCTACCAAGGCCACTTAAGTGAGTCATTCTTGACAATCATATCAACTAATCTATTTTTCTCTGTTGCAGAGTTTGCTTTAAAGAAAACCCTTGCATTTGAGTCTATATCCGTGGAGGCCTTCTCCTATGGGAACGATCAGTATGTGGTTTACGCTCAGCCTTTCACCGGAAGATGCAACTTCATGGAATGGGACCACGTCAATATGGAGTTCAGAGATCATGAGATCATATTAAGTGAGCGACACACATCACACCTCCTACATACACACAGTAGTGGAAACTTGCTATTGTTATCTTAAGGAGTTAACTTTGACTTTGTAGATTGTTTCAGTGATGTTAAAGGCACAATATTTTGGATTTTTCTTCATTAAAATATCCAAAAACCACTGCAACAGTGTTAAATATTTGGCTGACTTATATCCTTATATTACTCTAAATGTTTTAAAAAATGTCCAAATCCAAAGAAATAAGCAAATTTTGACTAGTGAGACGGAGCATGTGCTGTGTGTTTATGCTATTGACGTCACACACCCATCATTTATGGTTTTTTAGATAAGTAAAACAGCAAAAACGCATTGATATGTTGTGTGTTTTGTTAGATTGCAAAGAGCAGCACTATGACAGAAGCCTAAGATGTGTTTTAGTGCTGTTTCTTCTCAGCATGATCAGGAACAGAAGAAGCGGAAGTGCTGGACAGTGGCTTAATAAAAGCTCTGCTGCTTTCGTTGTACATTTCGTTTATCATCAGCATTTAGCCATACTCTGCTTCATACTATCATGATAATACTTTAGCTTAAGAGTCCCCAACCACCGACTAGTGCTAGGTCATGAAAGAGTTTCTAACGGACTGCAAGAACGCAGAGCTATTGTACAGGAGATCTCAGCTTATTGTGAGTAGGGCTGGGCGATATTCAATTCAATTCAATTCACCTTTATTTGTATAGCGCTTTTATAATGTAGATTGTGTCAAAGCAGCTTCACATAGAAGGTCATAGTAAATTGGAACAGTGTAGTTCAGTTTTTAGTGTTTAAGTTCAGTTCAGCTCAGCTCAGTGTGGTTTAAAATTCATTACTGAGGGTCTAAACACTGGAGAGCAAATCCATCGATGCGTAGCTCTACCGATCCCAAACCATGCAAGCTAATGGCGACAGCGGAGAAGGAAAAAAACTTCACCAATTGGCGAAAGTGAATAAAAAAACCTTGAGAGAAACCAGACTCAATATGACAATATGACAAAATGCCATCTTGATAATTATTTTCCTTATTGAACGATAACGGTACATATTTCGGTATAAGTTGTAAACACTTCTAGATTTAAAAGAGAACCCCGACAATGACTAAAGCCACAAAAATGAGAGAGTCCATTAAATGCCATAACATATTTCTGTCCGATAAATTTTCGGTGACCGAAAATTCAGTGCATCTCTAAAATCAACACACTTTTAGATTCCCATTGTTGCACATTTCTGCTGTGATGATTGGCTCTTAAATCAATATAGAGTAAAAAAGAGCAACTTTTATTATTGTTATTGACATAAATTTTTTCATGATTCAATATAATATCGTGAATGGGCCCAGCCCTAATTGTGAGTTTCCCCTTTAAGAACCAATATAATTAACAGTGCACAATGCAGACCGGATGAAGGAAGTGCTGCACCGCTTCAAAACTAGAAATCTAAAATTTTGTTTTCTACAAGGGTACAAACCGGGTACTAACACAGGTGCCACAATTGGCATGCGTCTTTATAAAATTGAGCTGCTACAGCATGAGTGGGGACCAAATATCTCACTCTATTATTGAGTAGTTTGTTTTTATTTGTTGTTGCAAGCATAACGACCAAAATACAACCCAACATAACCCTGCTAAACTACCAACCCTTACATACTGTGCCTTTTCAATGATATATTTGACATATTAATGTAGAAAGTGCATTTTTTAAGGCAGTTGCATGTTTCTGTTTTGCAGTGCTACAAAAAACTATTAAAAAGAGTTTTAATGCGACTGACTGATTGAGTTTTAAACCAAAAAATTTACTTAAAATGAATTTAATCTCCCTCAAGTGGTTCAAAAACTTTTAGAGTTTCTTTATTTTGTTGAGCACAAAAGTAAGATATTGAATATATCTTGAAAAATGTTAAAAACCTGTAACCATTGTCTTCATAGTAGGAAAAACAAATACTATGAAAGTCAATGGTTACAGGTTTCCAACATTTTCAACACAGGCCCATTATGGATATGTACCCCTGTATACATTTCTGGAGAGTGCGAGTTTTGTAGCCAGAGGTACGATGGGCTGCATTTCATCTTTAATATGAACATTACGGGGTGGTATGATGCCGCCAATGGCTTCTGTTTATTTTCGCACCCCCAGCTGACTGCTTACATCTGCGTGGAAAGCTTTTTCACTGTTATCAGTTTGCCAAGTAGCTTGCCACATACGTCGGCAGACTTGAGACACAGAGAGGGTTTGAGTCTGGTAAAGAATGGTTCAATAAAGCAGGTAAGACAAAAACAAAAGGCAAAAAATAAGTGAACAAGTAAATAACAGGGTGAGAATGTGGTATAATCTGAAAACATGGTAAAAATCAGGCTGCCTTAAGGGCTTTTCTTTTTCTGGATTGGTTTTCAAAACAATGTCAGTTGGGTTCAGGGAAGGTGGTGGGTGGGTCAATCAGTGCTTTTGAAAACACTATGGGTTGTGTTTAGAGAAGGGGGTCGATGGGGGGATCGGTTGGTCAGTCAGTCAGTCAGTCAGTCAGTCGACAGCAGCCTCTGGTGGATTTAAGTGAGAACAGCAGGCATGAATGGCACTCGCCAGAGAAATTTGAGATCTAAAAAAGCATACACATCAGCCTCTGGTTGATTCACGAAAACAAAAGCTACAAAAAATCGTACATCCTGGAACGCATTTCGCGCTCTCCAGAAATGTATACAGGGGTAAGTATCCATAATGATCCTGGGTTGAACATTTTTCAAAATATCTTCTTTTTTTAACAAAAGAAAGTACCTCAGACAGATTTAGAATAAGTGGAGGATGAGTAAATAATGGCAAAGTTTAAAATTGGTGCTGAACTATCCTTTTAATGCAGTTTTTTTCTGATCGTAGGCACCTCCACGGTGGTGTGCAAGCCAATGGTCATCGATGACCACCTCTTCATCGTGGTCGCTCAACTGTTCGGTGGCTCTCACATTTATAAAAGAGACAGCTCAGCCAATAAGTTCATCAAAATCCAGGACATCGACATCCTGAAAATCAGAAAACCCAATGACATCGAGACTTTCCGTGTGGACGGCGAGTTTTACTTCGTGATCGCGGACAGCTCCAAGGCCGGCTCTACTACGGTTTACAAGTGGAACGGCAATGGCTTCTACTCGCACCAGTCTCTCCATCCGTGGTACCGCGACACTGATGTGGAGTACCTGGAAATCGCAGGCAAACCCCACATTATTTTGTCCAGCAGCTCACAGCGGCCCGTCGTCTACCAGTGGAGCCGAAGCCAGAAGCAGTTCGACAGGCGGACGGACATTCCCGATATGGAGGACGTCTATGCGGTCAAACACTTCAAGGTGAAGGGGGAGCTGTTTATCTGTCTGACACGCTTCATCGGAGACTCCAAGGTGATGAAGTGGGACGGCGCTATGTTTATAGAGATACAGACAATGCCTTCGCGGGGGTCCATGGTCTTCCAGCCCGTCTCCATCGGCAACTGGCAGTACGCCATCCTCGGCAGCGACTACTCGCTAACGCAGGTCTATCAGTGGGACGCCAAGAAGAGCCAGTTCGTACACTTCCAGGAGCTCAACGTCCAGGCGCCGAGAGCATTTTCACTGGCCTCCATTGACAACCGAGAGTTCCTGCTGGCGTCCAGCTTTAAAGGGAAGACGCAGATTTACGAGCACTTGATGATCGACCTGAGCAGTTAGGGTGCAGAAAACAGACCCTGACACAGACGAAGCTACAGTTGAAGTCAGAATTAGGAGCCCCCCTGTGTACTTTTTTCCCAATTTCTGCTTAATGGAAAGAAGATTTTTGTTACACACATTTCTAAACATAATAGTTTGAACTAATAGTTTGAAGTGATTGATGACAGTAAACAATATTTGACTAGATGTTTTTTAAGATACTAGTATTCAGCTTAAAGTGACATTTAAAGGCTTAACTAGGTTAATTAGGCACACTCATAGAAATAAAAGTAGGAGAGCTGTCACTACAGTGGTACCTTTTCAAAAGATACACATTTTTATTCAAAAGGTCCATATTGGTACCTCAAAAGCATACATTTGTACCTAAAATTTCTTTATTTTTTATAATGATTTTTTAGGGGTTTTCACATTTATTGTACATGACAGTAGAGAGTATTATCAGGAAGCAGAGAGAGGGGAAGGATCGACATAGGACCACAAGGCAGGAATCGAACTCAGGTCGCCTTGAGCACTGGAGTGCATGTGTCGACGCACTAACCACTGCATCACTGGTGCCAACCCTAAAGATTTTAGGAGGTACACTTTTGTGGTTTTAGGTACTAATATGTACTCTTGAGCAGGGCTTCCCACAGATTTGAAATACTTGCGGTGGTAGCTGGATTGAAACACACCTTTTACCCATTTACTGTGACACTCTTTAACACTGTTTCTTTTCAATGGGTTAAAGTTTTTTTTTAAGTCCACTATTTCTCTTACTTTTATGCAATTTAAGACCCGTGTGCACCCATTGACATGGTAAAAGCTGATATCTCTCTCTGTCAAGTTCAGTTTGCTTTATTGGCATGACATTTTGTACAGTAAAGCCAAAGCATTTTAGCTTTGTATAAAGTATATAATATATTTACATCATCAAATTAATAAAACATACAGCAAATGAGAAATATATTACAGTAAAAAGGATTAATACAGTGCTAACAATTATATAACAGGCCCTAATTACAAAGATTAAAAGTGTTGATTATTTAAATAAGGCAAATTTGTTGATGTTTTTAATGTTTCTCTCGCTCTTGCTTAATAAGTAAAAATCAAATGTGAATGAAAGCGGTATACATGTCATTAATGTGATTAATTATAAATGTTATTTTCCCGACAAAACAAAAGCATAATCTCACTGACATGTCTTAATTTTATTCAATTTCTCTGTTAAAAAAATAAATAAAATAAATAAATAAATAATCTAGGCTTTCACAGACATCCTAAAGAGTACAAATAATAATTTTGAAACATTTCCACCTATTAAGCCCAGCACATTTTAATGGTGTTTCATTTTGGAGCCCAACAGTCCAAAAATGCACCCTTTATACTATTTTATTATTTTTATTTAGATGTTTTTTATATCACCTAAAACTTCTTTTCTTAATCTTAATGCAATATACACTTTTAAATGATTAGTTTCCTTAAAATTAATTTACAGCTAAAAATAATAATTATGTATGGTTATATTTTTGACTGCTGGACTGCTGTATGATTAAGAGGTGGTGGATAAATTTGTGCAAATGTAATAATTATAATATTTTAGTTCATGATAATGTTATTACATAACATTAAATTATTATATTAATATATTTTTATTTATTTTAAATAATATTTAATTACGTTAGTTTGATTAGTTTGACTCTCACCATACAAAACTTGATAGTAAACAATGTTATATATTGTTTATAGGTATAATTTATACTTTTAGAGACTCCCAGACTTCCTGGGGATATTTTTTTTTACCACACTTATTGGTTGAATCCGTCCCTGTCTGTATGGACCCTTTAGGTACAAATGTGTACCTTTTGAACAGGGACCACCCCAGTGACAGCTCTCTTACCTTCATTTCTGAGAGTGCAGGGTAATCAGGTACATTATTTGATAATGATGATTTGTTCTGTAGACAATTGAAAACAAATATTGCTTAAAAGGGCTAATAATATTGACTTAAACATGTTTTAAACAGTTAAAACAGATTATTTTTTTTAGCAAAAAACAAAACAAAACAAATAGGTCTTTCTCCAGAAGAAGAAAAAATATCATTGGAAATACTGTGAAGAATTCCTTGCTCTGTTAAACATCATTTGGAAAATATTTGAAAAAGAAATCACTGGAAGGCCAATAATTCTGACTTCAACTGTGCATGCATGATCTAGCCTAGACCGCTAATAATAATAATTCCAGATGAATGCCTCTCTAGAAACGCCCTGTGTGTCTTTCTCTGTTGTCACCATCTGCTCTGCACTTTTCATCTTTCCTGGTTTTTTGTCCCCTTTCAACAAAAGCTATTGTTAACATATTCTCATGCTTGCCGTGTAGTCACTAAAGAGGTATAACAAGGAGCCAACAAAGGTCAAATCAGTTAGCTGTTGCTGACGTAATAACAATCTGCCAAATAAACTGTTTACATTTTTACAGTGATGTAAAAAGACATTTGTAACTACTTTTTTAAGCAGAAATACAACTCGTTAACCACATTAGGTGTGATTAGAAACTTGTTTTGACTAAACTTCTTTAATAATCTGAATGCAATAGGCATAGGAGTTTTTTTTTTGCGCAAATAGTAAGGAAAAGTGGCTGTGAGAGAGAAGATTAGTTTGTTTACTGGTACTTTTTTAGGATCTAATAAAACCTTAAAAATAAAATAAGCCTGCTTTGTTGTGATGCATTAATTTTGCATAGAAAGTGTGTCAATGTGCCTCTCCATGAAGCTAAAACATCTGCTAAAAACAAAGTAAAATATAATTTAATAAATAAAATTGTAAATTGTATTATAATTAGTCATGGGCCGGTATAAGATTCTGATGGTTCGATAACCTTGGGTAAAAATATCATGGTTTAACAGTATTGTGATTACTGCTCTAAAATATCTTCTTTTTAAATGTCTGGGTAAAAAACAACAACTTGTTTCCTTCGTTGAACACACTATATTTTATTTTGAGAAACCTTTATAATATTTTGGAGCAGTAAACATGTCAGGCTGAATGATAAAAGTAAATCATTGACTTCTGCTGTCTTCAGCAGCTTCAAAAACACAGATTTATTTACCATTTAAAACAGCATTTTTGGATATCTTTTCTGCTGTAGATAATGTTGTCCCTAAAACAAAACAAAATATATAAATAAATAAATCTTACATATACCGTAGGAATGGTATAGCAGAAAATGTTGGCAGTTTTAAAACCTTGACTTTTCCAAACTGTGGTATACCTTGAAAACAGTTATCCTCCCATGCCTAATTATATTAATAATAATTATTATAAATCATTTAAAAAATGAAATACGAATGCTTGTTTCCTCTACAGATTAAGAATATTAAAAAGGTATTTGTGGGATTATTATTCACATTTCTGACCCATCCTTCCCCCCTTTTTTGTCAAAATTGCAATATTTAAACAGTATTGTACTGTACTCAATGTGTAAGGAACACATTTTAAATTGCAATTTCCGTGTTTATTTCTCGACATAATGATTTTTTCTCCTCAGAGTTATTAGTTTATATACTTTCCTGCTGTTCTAACTTTCGACAGTGAAAATTAAACCACACTGAACTGAACTAAACTGAACTTTAACTCTGTAAACTGGACTGATAGTTTCAGTTTACTAGAACTTCTATGTTAAGCTGCTTTGACACAATCTACATTGTGAAGCGCTTTAGAAATAAAGATGAATTGAATTAACTTGTCTCAAAAACAACTCAAAAGTAGAAAAACGCAAGATAAAACTACTAATTTGAACAACAAAAATAAACAATTCCGTTAAAATGTAAAGTCCAAATTGTAAGTTCATATCTCACAATTCTGACTTTTCTCAGACCTCTGAGTTTACATTTTATCATCCTGATTTCATATCTTGCAATTCAGTTTTTCCCCTTATAATTTACAATTTTGTTTTGTTCTGAATTGAAATTCATTTCTCGTCGTTATGATTTTATAGGTTTTCTCATAATTCTGGCTTTATTTTATTTGCTATTCTGAGTTTATACACTACTTCCTGCGAGTTTATAGACCATTTTGAGGGATATGAACAAAACAATGCTTGTAACGCATTTCCTGTTTTACATTTCTAATTTCTATAGCTTCTGAGAATCCAAAAAGGTCCACATACTGATAAATATTTTTATTATAGCTGTTTCAACATTACGTTATGATTGCATTTCTTCTTGTTACAGTTATAAAATAGCTTGATAACAAGCAGGAAATGTTCATGTGCCAATGACATGATCACATTGAAATGGTCTATAAATAGAAACAGTGAAATACAGAGTAATTATTTTCAAGGGGAAAAAGTCATAAATTGCAAAATATGAATTCTCAATCGCGACAAAGAAATTTGGGTCCCACTTTATATTAAGTGGCCTTAACTACTGTGTACTTACATGTATCTTTAATTACAATGTACTTACTGTGTTCATAATGTATCACAAAACACTTGAGGTAGGATATGGGTACGGTTAGAAATGTAAGTACATGCAGGTATTTAATCAAGCATAAATACATAGTATAACCATGTATTTACACAATATGTATATTGCAACTAATTATAATTTACAGTGTAAGTACATATTAGTGATATTAGCCACTTAATATAAAGTGGGACCGACATTTGTGATGTAGAAAGTTAAATTAATTACAAAAGGGATATTAGCATTAATCTTACATCAGCATGTAATTATTATTATTATTATTATTCATTTTCTTTTCAGCTTAGTCCCTTTATTAATCTAGGGTCGTCACAGCGGAATGAACCGCCAACTTATCCAACATATGTTTTACACAGCTGCCACAACCCAACACTGGAAATATTATTATTCATTAATTTATTTTCTTTTTGGCTTAGTTCTATTATTAATCAGGGGTCATTATTATTATTATTATTATTATTATTATTATTATTATTATTATTATTATTATTATTATTATTATTGAATACAATTTAAGTATTATTGAGTTATTATTGATTATTATCACCACATTGAAGTGATAATACAGCAATGAAAGATAGAAACAAAATCTTTACAAAGCCCCAATCATTAAGAGACATATTACCATAACGAAATGTATTCTTATTATTATTAATATTAAGTTTAAGAGATTCAACATTGAACGCGTGTGCTTCTGATTTTCAGTACGAGTAAACGCTGTGAAACGTCATTGTCGTCCAACCACATTGAAACGCGTTTTGTCTTCCTCTAGCGGCAGAATGACGCAAACGCCGTTTCTTTGTACAAGGTTAATTATTTAACTTGTTGCTCGGTAAGGTACCATTCCTACCCGAAGGCAACCGTGTGTCAAGACGCGTGGTCAAGGTATGCCCGGCAGCTGCTCTCCTCTGTCATGGGTGATATTAGACAGCGCAATGGCTCTGTGAGTAATAATGACACAGATTTATCTGTTGTCCCTTATACAGCAGACGACATCAGGGTGCTTTGTCATAAAGTTGAAGATGGGAAGGTTGGGGAGGAATTTGAGATGCGAACTCTATCAGAAGTGCCGGATGGGGACGCTGGGGAGTCCCGACCGGTCAACCGCGGTGCTTTTTACCGGGTTTGTTTGCCGGCTTGCTGTAAAAGAAGCGACACTCACCGTGACGAGGATGAAGATGATGGTGAGGAGGACACGGGGGAAAACACCGTTCAGAAAGGTAAACTTATCTAAACGCTTAGCTTTCCGAAGAAATCGTTCGTAAACATAACTACAGATGCCGAATTTGATCTTTGTTGTTTCTAATTTTACACCTGTGTGACCTCTGACTGTTATGTACAGTCAACTGTCGAGTGCTGTGGATCGCTTACATTCACCATAGTAACCATCGTTTCTGTTAACGTGTAACATTACGTTAAATCTGCGACAACTTACTGTAAAGGCGAGAGAGGTGTGTTTCAAGAATAAAAAACAATAAAAGTCAAATATATTATCACCTAAAATGTGATAACTATTATACATTTTTACAATGTCTTGTCAGGCAATCATTTGATGACATATTAAAAGACTTTATTAAAAAACGTATTCATTATATGAATATATGTGTCGTCATCTAACTTAAATTGTAAACCACTGGGTTAAATATATATGTCAGCAAGAGGTTTTTAATCATTTAAAAGATAAAGAATTTTTAGTACAATCACTTACTTTTTATATATTTTAATAAATACAGGTAAATAAAAGTAAAAAGGGTCACACTTTACATAAGGTTTTGTTAGTTAATGTATTTACTAACATGTAATAAGAATGAACAATTCTTATATGGTATAAAGAATTTTTAGTACAATCACTTACTTTTTATATATTTTAATAAATACAGGTAAATAAAAGTAAAAAGGGTCACACTTTACATAAGGTTTTGTTAGTTAATGTATTTACTAACATGTAATAAGAATGAACAATTCTTATATGGTATTTAATAGTCACAGTGTTAATTAAGCTTTTTAACAATAGTTATTGAACTGTGAATTTTCAAGGACTAACATTAACAAATATTAATAAATACTGTGATAAATGTATTGTTTATTGTATGTTTGTGCTACTAATTACATTAACTAATGGAATCTTATTGTAAAGTGATACCATAAAATATATTTATGTAGTTGTGTGTGTGTGTATATGCATATATATATATATATATATATATATATATATATATATATATATATATATATATATACAGTTGAAGTCAGAATTATTAGCCCCCCTGAATTATAGCCCCCCTCTGTTTTCAACTATACTGTTTTCAACCTCTGTATAACAACAGACTTCAATTATATATATATATATATATATATATATATATATGTATATAAATAGGCCTGACGCAATATATAGATATATTACACAATATAGACGTGATCTTAGTAACTTTAGGTGATACAATATTCATCACGATTGCACGAGACTGGAAAATATGCGATAATTATATTTCTTACAATATTTCCCTTGAAAAAGGCTATTTTTATTAACTGTGTTTTCAAATCGTTTAATTATTGTATGACATTAGAATAAACAGGTAAAATATATTTCAGATCTATTTAATTCTAATTCAGGAACTGTGTCAAGGTGAAAACATTTATCCTTTACACCACTATGAGTAAGAGAAAGCAGATCTTCTGACTCTGATTGGCTGTTACTTTTTAAAATATTTCCCAAATTATGTTTAATTATGTAAGGAAATTTTGCTAATAATATTTTTTCTTCTGGAGAAAGTCTTATTTGTTTTTATTTTGGCTAGAATCAAAGCAGTTTTTAATTTTTAAAAAATAATTTTAAGGACAAAATTATTAGCCCCTTTAAGCTATATTTTTCAATAGTCTACAGAACAAACCATCGTTATACAATAACTTGCCTAATTGCCATAACCTGCCTAGTTAACATAACTAACCTAGTTAAGCCTTTAAATGTCACTTTACGCTGTATAGAAGTGTCTTGAAGAATAAGTAGTAAAATATTATTTACTGTCATCTTGACAAAGATAAAATAGATCAGTTGTTAGAGATTAGTTATTAAAACTTTTATGTTTAGAAATGTGTTTAAAAAATCGTCTATATGTTAAACAGAAATTGGGGGAAAAATAAACAGGGAGGCTAAAAATTGAGGGGGCTAATAATTCTGATTTCAACTGAATATATATGTTATTCTGATTGACTGTTTTACCTATATTTCAACATTTAAAATCTTACAAAAGTTACTTGAACAAAATTGTGCACTTAATATACTTTCTGTCTATAAAAAATGTTTTTTGTAAGTTGAATTTTTTGATGCAGACACTAAAATAGGACATATCATCTTTGACCCTTAATCTGTACGTCATCAATAAAACATAATTAGTTAAATAAATATTAAGTAAATAAATATTGAAACCGCATGTTTCTACAGTAACCTGTTACTAACTGTAGTAACAGTGTCATAAACAGCAGAGTTGCCATGGCACTTTCTTTTTATAAAAGCTGACAAGAACAGTCACATTGTAATTATCCCCTTACATACAGCTACCATAGAAACTATTCTTTGTTACTCGGTTGTAGCCACTTTTCATTGTTTTTACAGGTCTTATGAACTAATACAGAATTGATTTAGGAATATTTGTGGTGACTAGTTCCACATTCTCAGTTCCATGTTTGTGTTGTACAGTAAAGTGTCCACTTTTCAGTACCCCTATTTTTCATTAAGTTGTTGCGCTTATGAGGTAAATCACAAACTCATACACTGCAAAAGGAACAACGATTATAAAGCATTATGAATTGCATAATCGAATTAAAAACAAGAGACAACTATAAAACTAGAATTTAGTTCAATCATTGAAAATCAGTCCACCTGTGGAGGAAATGACTGGGGTTTTCTTACTTCCAGAACCTGACTGTAGCACTCTATTGTGTGTTGTTGTTGGAAATTGTGGTCACCATGGTATCTTTTGTGAGGAAAACATTTACACTCAAGGTCTAAAGCTAACATTTACCACCATCTAGCAATAGCTGATGTCTTGAGAAAATAAAAAATATGAATAAACATAATTATAATGTATTTGTAATAGATTTTACTGGCCATGAATCTGTATATACACTCAAAATAAATTGTTCAAATTACTTAATTAAAATGAGCTGAAACAACACAATTCTTGAGATTTTTTAAGACAACTTAATTGTTTTATGTTGAATCCACTTGGTCTTTAATAGCATGTAACAAATTACAAGTCTTACTGTTCAGATCTTATTTTGTTTTTTGGTCACGGATCAGACAATGTTTTGGATCAGCCAAAATAGGGAGAAGACAAATGTCATTTGATTTCTGTTTATTACAGAAACAGCACTGCAAGTGACTTGAATAAACCAACAGACCTTAGAACCTTTCATTTTATTAAAAATAAAAGAAAGAAGTAATCAGCTGAATAAAAATAAATAGTAAAATATTCAGTCCTGTGGAAAATTCACTGTTACAACTACTGTTGCTGATAACACTAAATGTAGAAATCTAACATTAAAATGTGTGACACCCATATGTATTTTTAGTCTCATTTTCAATAAAAGATTCAGTTATTCACTTGTAAAACTTCATGTTTCATATTACTAGATGGGTCATTTTTAAATAATTATTCAGTGGCATATTTTTGATGGCTTGTTGTTGCCACCTATTGGTTAAATAATGTAATTGCTGCGTACAACTTTTATTTTTGAGCGTTAAATGCATATGATGGTAATTTTAATCTTTACCATAAACATTTAGTTTTATCTAAACTATACATTGTTATCCCAGTACATTTTCTGTTTTTTGACGATTTGTAGCTTAACTAACTTTAAAGACTAAATACTAAATCTCTTAGGATTAATAAACAAATGCAAATCACCATAATTTATAATTGATGTTGCTTGGGTGTTGAGATACTGATCTTTTAATGATTATTCGTGCAGCTTACACTGAATGCATGAATGCAGGCGAAACAAATAGTGACAGAAAACACTTTTAATAACCTAAAAAACCCAAAACATCCATCCTCACTATATTTTACAGGAAAGGCCTTTAAGATAATAAAAGAACTGTTATCATGAGTTGCTCATGTGAAAAGAGCTGTTGTGGCATCAGATTACAAATTTATAAAAATACAATGCCGTATTTGTGATTTAATAATTGTGCTAAACCACTTAGCATATCCGTCATTGTTCATAATATAGTGACCAACCAATCGCATCACCAATTTTTCTTCAATTTTTGCCTTTTTTATTGTATATGCTGAATATTTAACAATCAAAACCATACCAAAATCTTGCAGTTATGACATCCACATCACAACAGAAAACCAGAAAAGTAATAATACAATTGAAATGAATAGAAAATAATAATAAAAAAACAAAAGGTTATACATTAATATTTACAATTAATAGAAGAGAGGAGTTTAGTTCTTTGAATATATTCATAGTTCTGGTTGCTTTCTGACTTTAAAGTCTTTTAAAGTTCCCATGTTAAAGTCTGGAAGTTACTAAGACTTATTAATTCAGTATGTTGATGTACTGGGGCTTTCTTCTGCTCATTATTTTCCCATTGCAAACTTAATGGTTTGAGAGGGTATTAAAAACCAGTTATTAGACATGAGTTATTAAAACTATTATGTTTAGATGCAATATATAGATATATTACACAATAAAGATGTGGCCTTAGTAACTTTAGGTGATACAATATTTATCACGATTGCACGAGACTGGAAAATATGCGATAATGATATTCTTACAATATTTTCCGTTGAAAAAGGCTATTTTTATTAACTGTGTTTTCAGATCGTTTAATTATTGTATGACATTAGAATAAACAGGTAAAATATATTTCAGATCTATTTAATTCTAATTCAGGAACTGTGTCAAGGTGAAAACATTTATCCTTTACAACACTACGAGTAAGAGAAAGCAGATCTTCTGACTCTGATTGGCTGTTGACGTTTGGCTCTCCCGTCTCAACTCCCGCCATTAGTGTTTATTTTCAACTCTGGGTTCACCTTTGGGCCACTCCACATACTGACAAAAAACGTCTGGGTCACGCTAACTTTAAGAATGAATATAATTGTTCCTTTAAAGTGTTTAAATCCATTTGCATTATTATTATGCTGTTTTATAGCATAGCATTATATAATCTAGGACTTTTATTTTAAAATGACAGTATCTTATCACAATAATTTCTGTGGCAATTTATTGCACAGCATAAATGAATTATCACGACAGGCCTAATTATATGGTGCATGATCAGTCAAGGTCATTCCGTGAAAACATTTGATCTTATGGTACAGTGTTCATATGCAGTGGTATTTTGTTTTCAAAGAATCTTTGAAATTTTAAAGGGATTGTTCGCCCAAAACTGATATTTTTGTCATTATTGAATCACCCTTTACTTGTTAAAACTTCCTTCTATTCCTTCTGTTAAACCAACCCAGGCTCGTTCTGAAAATTTAGTCCCGTGGACATTTCTGGGGACTGCGAAATACGTCCCCGGAGGTACCTATATTTGCAGTTTTTGTTTTCACGCTTTTTTACATCTCAAATGTCTCTCACGAGTGCTGTTCGCACCCGCGCTGTTCTAGAGTAAACCCACCAGAGGCTGCTGTCGACCGACTGAATGATTGACTGGGCGACTGGCCAATCGACTGACTCCTCCTCCTTCCCTCAACCCAATTAATTTTACCGATTGACCCGCCCACCCACTTACTTCCCTAAACCCTCAACCGATGGTTTACAAAAGCCGTCCAGAAAAAGAAAAGTCCTCGTCTGATTTTTACCACATTTTCGGATTTCACCACATTCTCACCGTGTTGTTCACTCATTCATTTTATTTGCTGGATTCTGTTTTTGTCTTACCTGATTTCTTAACCACATATCCCTGGACTCGATCCCGGTCATCGTCAACAGCCAGTTCATCTCTGCGTCTCAAGTACGCCGACAAACACGACGAGCTAACTGGTTGTGCCAGGAAAGCCCTCCACACGGAGGTAAGCGGTCAGCCCATGAGCACCAAAAGGAACGGCGTCAAACCAGCCCGTAGCGTTCGCTAAAAAAATGAAATGCAGCCATACGTACCTCCGGCTACATAATTTGCGGTCTCCAGAAACGTCCACGGGACTACGTTTTCAGAATGAGCCTGTGTTGCATTAAACAGTTGAGAAGATATTTTTTAAAAAGCTTGAAACCGTTGACTTCTATAGTATTTGTTTTTAATACTATGGAAGCTCAGCTTTCTTCAAAACATCTTCTTTTGTGTTCAACAGAAGACAGAAACTAATAAAGGTTTGAAACCTCTTGAGGGTGAGTAAATAGTAAGCAAATTTTCATTTTTATTTGACCCATCCCTTTAGGGTGTTACCTAATAAATAGGAAATACCGGTTTGAAATATTTCTGCAGGGTGACGTTAACTAAAATGCTTTATCATGATGAGCAGTACTGGCTTTGTGGGAAAAGCTGAATCACACCAGGAAACTGTCGTTTTCCCCCCTCGTGTGTTCTCTGTTAAAGATCAGGTGAAGCTGCTTGTTTACTTGAACTCAAACCCGTATTGTTGGGTGTGTGTTATGTTCCAGGACCCATGATATTTGGCTCGCTCCAGGTCCACATTTGATACAATTTGACGTTTATCCAATCAACCTGATTGAGCACAGCCCTCAGCTCACCGACAGGTAGTAAAGTTGCACTTGGTTGCGTAATCACTTGCGTCACATTCTGTGGTTTCATTTCAGTGTCAAAGTTAAACTCAAGTCATCAACAGTGTGTGGAGATTCATGCTGTTCTGCTCTCTCCATCTCATTCCATGCCAATATCAAAATTCAGATCACACCCCACAAAGCCAAATCATGCTGTGTATTGCTCATATCTCGAGTTTCCATTCTTTTCTGCATGTGGTTTGTCTACAAAGACTTTATTGATGAACGGCTTTCAGATGGTTTTCTAATGACTAAGGCTATTTAAGTTTTTTGGTTTTGTTTGAATACAATTTTTAAATTTGAACAGCATTTTAGTTTAAATTTAGTTTGTTTTGGTTAGTTTTATAGTTTAGATTTTGTTTCTATTTAGTTCTTATATACAGTGGGAGGGGGTATTGAGTTTTTTTTTCTGGAAATAATATTTCTAAAGGAGCTGTTGACATGGAATTGAACCAGATTTTGGTAAAAGCCCAAACAATACAAACATAAATAAAACAAAACAATACAAATCTGAGAAATTAGTTCTGTGTAATAACAATAGAATGACACAAGGATAAAGTGCTGAACTACTGAAACATATTTATTATAACACAATAACTTTTGCATAGATTATGGTAGAGACATTTTTCTTTTTTCCTATAATTAGAGACATGTGCAGGAACCACCAAAATTAATTACAGCACGCTAGACCACACAGTACCTAAAAGGTACACTTTCAAATTTGAGTTTATAAAAAAATACAAAAAGCGCCTCTTTTTTATGTGTTTATTATAACACAGACAACATATACAGTTGTTTTAAACACTTTCATTAGTGTTTTCTGAAAATTCAAAGGGTTTTCTTTAAAATGATGCCAAATTTTTGCATGTAAACCTCTGCATGTGGATTTGGGAAGCTTTTAAATTTAGGTAGGCAAAATCCAGGCGGAAATCCCAAAATAACAGCAGAGTTTAACTGGTTAAAGAATAAGTAAAGAGTAAAGAAGGATTTTAAAAGGAGATATATTGATGATTATGTATATATGTATGTATGTACAATATGTATGATTAAAAGAAAGTACTTCAATCACTAATTAATTAGAAAAGACTAATTTTCCTTGAAGGTTGAAATTTTTTGAGTTCCATTTTTGCAATTTAATAAATGTCTCATCCTGTTATTGTTATGTAATTCAACTTCCTGTGGTTTGTGGCCCTATAAAAGTCACACTTATGAACTGTAAAGGAACCAGGTATTCATGGATGCCCATCTGTGGTCATGAAGATAAAGTATTGAAATGATCATCATTTAGAGATTTTGGTAACACTTGAACACTGTGAATGAGACTATGCATGCTTATAACAACTATCATGAAGTCTCATTCGCTTGGTTATGACATTTTAAATGCAAAGATTTTTGTCATGACAACTTGACATTACAAAGACAACAAAACTTGTCATAAATCTGTCATAAACATAATTGTCTTGAAGCCATTATAAATGTGTCATGAATTATAGAACAGTGTCTTAATTACCTTTTGGACCGTAACTGCTGTGGTACAAGGTAAATGTGTAATTTAAATGTCATTAAATATTAATAACGCTCTTAAAAAATTATTTGACAGAGTAATGACACTTTTGATTAGTAATTTTACTGACAAATACAGTTTGTTCCAATAAAAACAAGATCAGGCGATGCAGTGGCGCAGTAGGTAGTGCTGTCGCCTCACAGCAAGAAGGTCGCTGGTTCAAGCCTCGGCTCAATTGACGTTTCTGTATGGAGTTTGCATGTTCTCCCTGCATTTGCGTGGGTTTCCCCCACATTCCAAAGACATGCGGTACAGGTGAATTGGGTAGGCTAAATTGTCCATTATGTGTGTGTGTGTAGATGTTTCCCAGAGATGGGTTGCGGCTGGAAGGGCATCCGCTGTATAAAAACGTGCTAGATAAGTTAGCAGTTCATTCCGCTGTGGCGACCCTGGATTAATAAAGGGACTAAGCCTACAAGAAAATTAATGAATGAATGAAAAACAAGATCAGAAAAATATTTCTGACACAATTAAAATGCCTTATGAGAATCATATTTATGACAAGTTTTGTTGTCTTGCTAATGTAAAATTGTCATGACAAAGATGAAGAAGTTGTCAAGTTGTCATAGCAAACAATGTCATCTTTGCACTTAAAATTACATAACTGAGCATGTCATGTTATGATTAAAAAGGTTTCACGACAGTCTTATGAACACCCCTTAAAGTAAAGTGTTACGGGGGCTTTTTTTACTCAAAACAGTGAATTAATCAGCATGTCATGTTATTATTTCGCATGATGTTGAATTTAATGTGATGTTGAGCAGTATTATTATTATATTCGTCCACAGAAAAGCAGCCGTCATGTCCGGGGCTGGGCCTCATGTACAGCTTGTTAGCGTCTGTCTTCTTCTCCATTGCGGCTCTTCTTGTGAAGAAAATGGAGGGGATGCACGCCATCCAAATCAGTGCCATTCGCTGCTTCTTCCAGATGCTGTTTGTCTTGCCAGCCATGATATATTACAAGTAGGAATCTACGATATATTACAAGAATGAAAGCAGAATGTTTTACAAGCATACATCTATTTCAAGTCAGCTTAAAACATGTATGAATCTATTAGATAAACTATAATTATTCTTACACATGTCAACATCTGATATATTATATGTGAAAATCTACAGTATAATGCAAGTTTAAATCTGATTTAATACAAGTATGAATAATTCACATTTGACTGTTATGATATTAGGTATGAAACTAAGTCTTTCGTATACATTTAAATATAATCCATTACAAGTATGAATCTTATACAAGTATTTAAGATAAATTACCATTATTAATTTATGATATATTACTATATTACAGACTATATTACAAATCTGACATATATGTATGAGTTTATGTAGTAGTATGAATCCGTAATACAAATATGAATTTGATGCATTCAGTTGATGAAATATTTCAAGCATGAATCTATAATACAAGTATACATTTATGATCTTTTATGATTCTATATTACAAATACAACACAGGTTTATTCTGAAAATGTAGTCGCGCGGACGTTTCTGGAGACCGCAAATTATGTAGCTGGAGGTACGTATGGCTGCGTTTAAATTTTTAAAGCGAATGCTACGAGGTGGTATGACGCTGTTCCTTTTAGCGCGTACCAGCTGACCGCTTACCTCTGTGTGGAGGGATTTCCCACTGCAACCACTTTGTCCAGTTAGCTCGTCATGTATGTCGGCGGACTTGAGATGCAGAGAGGAGTTGACCACGACGACGATCGGGTTCGTATCCGGGGTAGAGCGATTCCAGAAATCAGGTAAGACAAATTCACAATCCAAACAATTAAACGAACGAGTGAACAACAGGGTGAGAATGTGGTAAAATCCGAAAACGTGGTAAAAATTAGATGAGGGTCGGTGCAATAGCCTAGTGGTTAGCGTGCTGACATATGGTGCAGTAGCATGTCAGGGTGTCCTGAGTTCAAATCCCGGCTTGAGGACATTTCTCTACCCTCCTCTCTCTCTCTCCAACTTCCTGTCTCAATAGTGTCCTATGAAAAAATAACGATAAAATAAAATAACGTGGACGGCTTTTGTAAACCGTCGGGTTGGTTTAGGAAAGCGAGCGGCCGGGTCAATCGATAAAATTGGTTGAGTTTATGGAAGGAAGAGGTTGGGTCGGTTTATTGGCTGGTCGCCCAGTCAATCAGTCATTCAGTCGGTCGACTGAACACACAGCGGCCTCTCACGGATTCGTGAAAACAAAAAATGCAAGAAACGTCCACAGGACTACGTTTTCAGATTGAGCCTGGGTTGCACAAATATGCATATAAGTTTGAATTTAATATGGATCTAGTGTGAATTTAAGATCTATTACACAGAGGTGGGTAGTAACGAGTTACATTTACTTCGTTACGTTTACTTGAGTAAAACTATTGGGTAACGTGTACTTTTTTTGAGTACATTTAAATATGTGTACTTTTACTCTTACTCAAGTAGACTCGTAAAAGCACAACGCAAAGAGGCGTTTCCCACATCAGCACAAATTGATTGTTCAGCCAATCAAGGGCCCCATCCTTCTGTGGGCCCTGGGGCTTCAGCCCCGCCTAGCCCTTACGTTAATCCAGGCATGATCATATCATTATATACAACCCGGGCTCATTGTGGAAACAAAGCCCCGCAGACGTTTCTGCAGACTGCGAAATACGTCCCGGGAGGTATGAATTCGAGCAGTTTTTGTTTTCGTGGATCCGCGAGAGGCCGCTGTGCGCGCTTTTTCGCGTCTCGAGGAGGAGGAGTGGAGCGGCGTCACACCGCCCCGCAGCTTTTGCTCGAGAAAAACTAAACGCGGCCATACGTACCTCGCGGTCTCCAGAAATGTCCGCGGGGCTACGTTTCCAGAATGAGCTTGGGTTGATTATATAATAAGTATAAATGCATAATACATGAATGCATGAATTTGAAATATCACACATATGAATCCATATTGCAAGTATGAATTGGATAATTTAAACAATCTATAATACAGGCATGATGTTGTTGTCTATTACATGGATTAATGGATTAATCAATAATACAGGTATGCATTTATGATTTATTACAATATTAAATCTATAGTACAAGTATTTGTACATCTTGACTTGCATAATTTAATTGAATATCATTTTGACTCAATCTATAACCTTTTCGTTTTATAGAACTGGCTTTTTGGGACCAAGAGGTATGCGAATCTACCTGTTCCTCCGTGGCTTTCTAGGCTCCAATGCCATGATCTTGTTGTATTACGCAGTTCTTCAAATGCCTCTGGCTGATGCCACAGTTATAATGTTCAGCAATCCAGTCTTTACAGCCTTGCTGGCGTGGATTTTCCTCAAAGAGCGATGCACGATATGGGACGTGGTCTTCACTGTGTTTACACTCACCGGCGTCATTCTGATAGCCAGACCACCATTCCTGTTCGGCGGCGAGTTGTCAGGGATTGAAGGGGATTATAGCAGTCACATCAAGGGCACAGTGGCCGCCTTTTCTGGAGCGGTCGGAGCAGCTTGCACTATGGTCATTCTGAGAAAAATCGGGAAAAGGGTTCACTACTTCCTCTCCGTATGGTACTATGCAGTTCTGGGACTCATCGAATGTGTCGTTGTCCTGTTCATCTTGGACGAGTGGACTATTCCGTCCTGCGGCTGGGATAGATGGACGCTCATGGCCATCGGGGTGCTCGGCATAGCCGGACAGGCCTTTCTTACCAAAGCACTGCAGATCGAGAAGGCAGGACCAGTTGCACTTATGAGGACGATGGATGTGGTGCTGGCCTTCGTCCTGCAGTTCCTCTTCCTCAACCGCAAGCCAACATGGTGGAGTTTAGGAGGAGCGCTGTGTGTGATCAGCAGCACCAGTGGAGTGGCCTTAAGGAAGTGGTATAACAGCACAAGACAGAAGAGCTGATCATGCACACTATAGGGAGGTGAAGATCCATTTTATATATGTTTGCTACAGATAACTGCTGCGTTAGATACCAAAGAGGCTTTTCACTGTTATCATATACAGCTATGGAAAAAAAAAACAATGAGGCTACTAGAGATATTCTCTATTTCTCTGGGTGTGCTGTTGGATTTAATTATTCTAAATGTTGATAAAATGTTGATCGTTGTTTTGTCCTGTAATTTTCACAGCAGATAGCGCTAGCTTTTCGTTTTTAACAGATGGGGCTCCAGCCTAGGGGTTAACAGCAGATGGCGCTCTAGGCTAATGTTTAACAGCAAATGGCACTAGCAAATAGCACTCTTGCTTATTTTTAAACAGCAGATGGTACTTTAGGCTAGTTCTTAACAGCAGATGGCGCAAGCAGATGACGCTCTAGGCTAGTTTTTAACAGCAAATGGCGCTCCAGCTTAGTGGTTAACAGCAGATGGTGCTCTAGGCTAGTGTTTAACAGCAGATGGGCTAGTTTTTAACAGCAGATGATGCTCAAGGCTAGTTTTTAACAGCAGATGATGCTCTCGGCTAGTGTTTAACAGCAGATGGGCTAGTTTTTAACAGCAGATGATGCTCAAGGCTAGTTTTTAACAGCAGATGGTGCTCTAGGCTAGTGTTTAACAGCAGATGGCGAAAGCAAATTGCAATCTAGGCTAGTTTTTAACAGCAGATGATGCTCTAAGCTAGTTTTTAACAGCAGATGACGCTCTAGGCTACTGTTTAACAGCAGATGATGCTCTAGGCTAGTTTTTAACAGTAGATGATGCTCTAGGCTACTGTTTAACAGTATATGGCGCTCTGGGCTAGGTTTTAACAGCACATGGTGCTCTAGGCTACTGTTTAACAGCAGATGGCGCTCTAGGCTACTGTTTATCTGCAGATCATGCTCAAGGCTAGTTTTTACCAGCAGATGATGCTCTAGGCTAGTTTGTAATAGCAGATTATGCTCTTGGCTAGTTTGTAACAGCAGATGGCACTAACATATGGTGCTCTGGGCTAGGTTTTAGCAGCAGATGGCACTCTAGACTACTGTTTAACAGCAGATGGGCTAGTTTTTAACAGCAGATGATGCTCAAGGCTAGTTTTTAACAGCAGATGATGCTCTTGGCTAGTTTGTAACAGCAGATGTCACTAACATTTGGTGCTCTGGGCTAGGTTTTAATGCCAGATGACACTCTAGGCTAGTGTTTAACAGAAGATGACACTCTAGGCTAGTGTTTAACAGAAGATGGGACTCAAGGATAGTGTTTAACACCTGACGGGGCTCTAGGATATTTTTTAACAGCAGATGGCGCTCTAGGATACTGTTTAACAGCAGATGGGGCTCTAGGATAGTTTATAACAGCAGATGCCGCTTTAGAATCATTTTTAACAGCTGATAGAGCTCTATGACAGTTTTTAACAGCTGATGGTGCTCTAGGATAGTTTTTAACACCTGATGGCGCTCTAGGATAGTGTTTTTAACAGCAGATGGGGCTCTAGGATAGTGTTTTTAACAGCAGATGGGGCTCTAGGATACTGTTTAACAGCAGATGGGGCTCTAGGATAGTTTATAACAGCAGATGCCGCTCTAGGATCGTTTTTAACAGCTGATAGAACTCTTTGACAGTTTTTAACAGCCGATGGTGCTCTAGGATAGTTTTTAACACCTGATCGTGCTCTAGGATAGTATTTTTAACAACAGATGGGGCTCTAGGATAGTTTTTAACAGCAGATGGCGCTCTAGGATACTGTTTAACAGTAGATGGGGCTCTAGGATACTGTTTAACAGCAGATGGGGCTCTAGGATACTGTTTAACAGCAGATGGCACTAGAAAATAGTGCTCTCGGCTAGTTTTTAACAGCAGATATCTAGCAAATAAAGATGAGCGATGAAGATGAGCGCTTGTGCTTTAGATCATGTACTGTATGTGTTTTAAGTGTAAAAAAAAGTACTGTAGGAGTTTTCATTTCAAATGACAGTATTTTAATTTTAGATTTGAAAGAAATGATATCAGACCTTTACAAAATAAAACAATTATTAACATTTTTTTCAAACACACAGCTATAGTAAATCCAGTACATCCAGAGAATCTGAGAATTCTTGTATTTTAGGACCTCACTGTATGCAGTATGTACAATAAATGACAGTATTTTAGTAGTTTTATAGAACACAGATATTCCTAACCCAACTGAGGGCTGTTAGTCAAGACTACAGATATTTTTCAATGGAGATAATAATGCTGTTAAGACAGCACTGCTTTATAAAGATTATAGCAGACCACTTATAAATAGACTGCTGGTCAGACACTTATGAGTGTACAAATCAGCAAAAATGTCAACTTTGTCATTTACTCAACCTCCTGGCATATTTGTTTCCTTCTGTAGAGCATGAAAGGAAATATTTTGTCCTTAAGTCCTTTTTTTCACTAATGTTTTGTGTCCATTTCATTATGAATATTATCTGACTTTTCAGGGTTTAAAGGGATTGTTCACCCAAAAACAACAATTCTGTTTTCATTTACTCATACTTCACTTGTTCAAAACCTCTTTGAGTTTCTTTTTTTGTTCAAAAAAATAATAATAATAATAAATTTATATATATATATATATATATATATATATATATATATATATATATATATATATATATATATATATATATATATATATATTTATAATTTTAAAAATAAATATAACCCTTTGTCTTCAATAGTATTTTTATTTCCTAATATGGAAGTCAATAGGTGCCAACCCAGCAGGTTCAGGACGTCAACATGATGTCAGATTGATGTTGTAACCTAACGCCATGGGGACGTTGCATTTTGTTTGGAAATGAAAACCGTGTTGACATCAGAACCCAATATTAGACCGACATCAATGTCCAACGTCCAACCTAAAATCAACTAAATATCAACGTCTAATGATGTTACAGCTTGACGCTGTGTAGACGTTACCAATAAAACGTTTTTGAGAATTTGGATTTTTGTTGCCATACTTGATGAATTAATGTCATTATATGACGTCAATATGATGTTAGTTTAAGAGGTTGGCTTGATGTTGGATTTTGGTCAATTTTTCCAACACAACATAAAATCAACTAAATATCAACATAACTTTGTCTTTGTCCGCTGGCTAGACATAGAATTTTGGTCACCTGACATCATGACCTTAATCTAACCCAACATTAACGTCTTATGACATTGTGTGCCTGCTGGGATCTACATGCATATTTCAAATTATCTACAAAAGAAAGAAACTCTTAAAGGTTTGAAGCCACATGTTTTTGTTTTTGGGTGAACTATCCCTATATCTGTACAGCATTCACTATTTAGTGAACATACAGTTGAAGTCAGAATTATTAGCCCCCCTGAATTAGTAGCACCCCTGTTTATTTTTTTCCCCAATTTCTGTTTAATGGAGGGAAGATAGTTTCAGCACATTTCTAAGCGTAATAGTTTTAAACACTTATTTCTAATAACTGATTTATTTTATCTTTGCCATGATGACAATAAATAATATTTTACTTGATATTTTTCAAGAAACTTCTATACAGCTTAAAGTGACATTTAAAGGCTTCACTTGGTTAAAAAGGTGAACTAGGCAGGTTAGGGTAATTAGGCAAGTTATTCTATAACGATGGTTTGTTCTGTAGACTATTGAAAATAAAATTAGTTTAAAGGGGTTAATAATTTTGTCCCAAAAATGTTTAAAAAAAAATTAATAACAGCTTTTATTCTAGCCGAAATAAAACAAATACGACTTTTTCCAGAAGACAAAATCATATCAGACATACTGTGAAAATTTCCTTGCTCTGTTCAAAATAATTTGGGAAATATTTGAAAAAGAGAAAAAAAATCGAAAGAGGGCTAATAATTCTGACTTCAACTGTACGTACATGTATTTTGCACCATCATGATGACCTACAGTCTTTAAAAGTCGATCCTAAATGACTTATTTAAACCATAAAACACCATAAAATGAGTTCAAAAGTCGGTATTGCAAATCACTGTATATATTTTGTGGAAACAAGACTGAAATAAGTAGTAATTTGCTGAAAAGCTTCCCCTTTTGGCACAGTCATCATCATCATGATGTAAAGATTGCACTTTTTCATTTAATGCAAAAGAGCGGTGTGAACATTCTGCAAAATATCTCGATTTTCTTCTGTGGAGATTATTTTGGAAAAACCTGAGGATGAGTAAACGACAGGACTTCATGTTTGGTGTGAACTCTCCCTTTAAAACCTTTTGCACTTTCACATTGACAATGTACTGTAACTGAAAGTCACAGGGTCAACTGAATAATATTTTGCGCGCTCAAATAGAAACCTCTTCTGAACTGTCTACGCTTAAAGCTGAATATGCAATCAGTGATATGTTCTGAACCTTGATGAACCACTGATTTGGACTCTGTCCTTGTGTACCACAGATATACGCACAGGTCTGCTGCACAAACATTAGTCTGATATAGAAATGAGTCGCTCTTGTTTATTTATTGGACACGTGTCTTGGCACAAAGATGAGTTGTAGTGTGTTGTTACAAGAGACCTTTATTTAATTGACAATTTTATTTAAACCTGTTTGTGTAAACTGACCTAAAAAGCACTTTACATTGACTTGTTGTGTCAGTTTAACTTTACTAAAAGCACTATTGTTGAAAAACTGAACCATCCGTTCATAGACATGCTGCCTTAATTTATTTCTATCCAACGACGTATCCGTTATAATCAATGTATGTGAGAGCAGATCCCTCCATATTATTTATTATTTGATTATCGCCTGCTGTAGATTTCTCATTGCATATTTATATGACTTTTTGAACTAGTTAAATAAAGAAAGATTCTTACCACGCCGAGTACAGTGTCTGTTTTTTTAAGCTACAACATGGTAATCATGTGATTGTTACCCCCAGCGAGTGCTTGAGAAGGATTATTGCTGCATTCTTGGGGATTTTCTGTTCCTTCTCGTTATTTTGGGATTTTACACCTTAGACTCAGTTTAATCATACACTCCATGCTTTGTGTAAATATTTAAGGATGACCAGTCAGATGCTCTGCATGGCACTGTTGTATGATTGAACAGTTTAAAATAGAGACTAAATAGACTTATTAAGGGGACCTGTTATTCAAAAATCACTTTTATAAGGGTTTTAAGGGTCTGGCAGCAGTGTGTGAATATATCGAGCCTCTATTGGTAAAAATTAATCAATTCAATTATATATAATCAGGGCTTAACATTAACTTTTTTGACCACCAGTCACTGTGGCTAGTAGTTTTCCAACATTTCTAGCCACTCGCCATTTTCACTAGCCACAATTTTATTGTTGGGAAAATATCTTATGCACATAAATATGACTTTGATATGCTAAAATGACTTGATATAGAGTTTGCGTTATCTCTACATGCCTCCTCATTCATTTCACTTTTTGTGTGTC